TTTTTTTTTTTTTTTTTTTTTTTTCTCTCTCGAAACCACCACGTTCTCTCTCGATTCGGCCACGCGACGCTTCGTTAAATTAAATTAAAGCTCTGTAATCAGTTGCAATTGTGAACGGCATCGAGCCGATGTGATTGTATTAAATTATGGAGAGAATTGCGATTTTAACGATTCTCGGTTTCTTTTCGTATGGCCGTTTCGTTTCGTGCGTTTCTTAATTCTAGAAAATAATGGATGAAAAAGTGTGTCGTACGATCCATCGATTTGATCCGTGGAAATAGTCGGAAGAGTCGTATGCGCGAAGAGAGTTCAATTCATTTCTACGAAATATATAATTACAGATTGTAAGGATTAGATTCGATCTCGAAAGATCAGTTTGTTAATTCGATTGTGTTAATCCTTGTGCCTTTACGCGTACAATCTTATCTTGAATACAATCAATATAGGAACGGGATTACCGATAAGGAGAGCGTCAGCTGGTTATATTTTGCTCGGAAAAAAAAAAATAATTTGAGTATATTCGATCGATATAAGAGACAAGGGGAAATAAAGTTCATCTTCGAACGAACAACTTCCTTTATTCCTAGAAAAGATATTTTCTATATCCGGTCTACGTAGGATTTTTTTTTTTTTTTTTTGAGAGGCGAATCCTGTCGCAACAATTGGATTTTTAGAATACAAAGATATTGCAGAATTAAATCAAATTCGGTAATCTCAAATTCGGAATTTAATTTTGTCTGGATTGAACGCTAATACAAGTGCATTTTCCACACGGAGTATGCAACGCGGTGGTTGATTGGTTCGGTGGTTCGGTCGTTCACGAGTTGGCTTCAGGTATGAAATTATACTGGTGACGTAATTATGAACTCTCGTACGAGCGTGTCGTTCGAAAATGACACTTGACCCGTTAGATTCCCATCATTTATGCGAATCGAGTCAATGTAATTATATGATTACATCGGTCCAAGTGAGTTACGATTTAAGTGACTAAACATCCTATATATAGTTATTTATACGTAAAATCGTCGTACCAAAATTGCAAAAGTTTAGAATCGTCAATATTAGGACGTAAAAAAAAAAAAAAAAAATTAATGGAAAATTCAACATATAACTGTAACGAACTTTTGATATTCAAAAGATCAAAAGTGTTGAAGGAACATATTTTGAAGGAATAGAATATGTTTGGATCTAATATTTCCTCGAAGGTACATACAGACATCGTAAAATCTCGCTATATAATTTCATTTCAAAAGAAACTATACGTACCTACGTTCACAGGCAATGAAGTTCACGATCAATTTTCTAACTTGATATATGCTCGAAAGCAAGGAACTATTTTTAAATTCGAGTCGCAATATATTTCTCGTGAAAATCGCGATTAAGAATAGAAAATCCATTTCGTCGCTCGCTGCTCGATGATCGTTTCGCACGAATTCTCGTCTTTCTTTTCCTCCGGTAATCCCAGTAATCCTCCATCTTCGATTTTACGTCCATCTTCGATTTTACGTCCATCTTCGAACGAACATCTTCCTTTATTCCTAGAAAAGATATTTCAAAAATTCTATATTCGGTCCACGCCGGATTTTTTTTTTTTTTTTTTTTGAGAGGCGAATCCTGTTAAAAGCTCGAACAACATTTTGTTCAAAATGGAAATGAAACGGCCGAGCCGCGGTAAAATTGATTTTTCCCCTTAATCGAGTGAAACTGTCGGCTTATCGGTTTTTTTCGTTTCCCAGCAACAGCGGCGAGCTTCGCTCACGTTTTTCCGCTTCGCGCTAATCTCGTTTCTGCCGCGAGTTCCACTCGCTCCGCTATTGAATCGTGCGTCAATCTTAAGGAAGACGAGATTTTTCACGTTTCCATCATGAAAATTCCATCCGACCGAGTCGTTTCTATCTTATTTTCTATCTCAAATTTTCTCATAATTTTTCTGTTCGATTCAAAAAATTTTGCAAAAAATCGTCGCAAAATCGTTGATTGAACAGAGATGGGGGGGAGGAATCGAGAGATTTCGAATTAAGTCAAATCGAAAATTTCTGCTGGAATCGAGTCGAATTCCACTCGGGAAGAACAGCTCGTGACTCGAGAACGTTGAACTTGTTGAGAATTTTATTATGCAGGATTCTTTAAAACGTCTGAAAGATCCGAAACCATAGCGGTATTCAATAAAGCTAGTCTTGGAGGATCGTTCGAGTTCTCGAAATTCTTTGGGATCCCGGCATTCTTGAGTCACGAGATTGCTTTCGGCAATCCGATCTCTTCCTGACCCGATCCTAAAGTATCGAGTTCCTAACATTTTCGGATCCTTTCGCGCCATGGAAAACTTTGTTCGTTGAAACGCCAACGATTTGGCCGTCTTAATCAAAACTGTTGACACCGTTTAAACATTTAATTTCATACGATTAATCGATATCATTTAGACGAGAAGAACGAAACGTGACAACGTAAGCGGATTTCTTTTGCAAAAAAAAGAAAAAAAGCTTAAATAAAACTTTATCTTTTATCTCTCGAACATCGCAATGCGTAACTATATATATATATATATATATCTTAGACGTACTTTGCGTCCACGTCTGTCTGTGCAAGAATTTTTTTCTACGTTGAAATTTCATAAATGCATGAATATCCTCCTCGTGTCCACGACACGAAACATCCTTAAGACAATAAAACGAGTTACACGAATGAATGAAATCATTCTATCTATTCGTACGTGATCGCGCTTAGTCGTCACTTGCAAAGTACAATTACGAGAACGTTTGACCATCGACGTTAAATAGCCACGCTCCATTTTCCGACGTGCGTTGCATCGAGAACACGTAACGCTTGTGCGGCCAATCCTGCAATGGCTCTTTATATCGCTCACGTGCTGTAGAATGTGTTCGAATCAACGCTCGTTTAATCCTAGCCAGCCTTAAATCTATCATGCCATTGTACCGTAATAATCTTCCGTCCAGACGATGGATACCAACTCGCTGGAACTCGCGTATTCATCGCCAATTGCTGATTCCCCGTATCGATTCACTTACTTGCTTGCTTCCGATCTATTTCTATTTTATCCGCGCACGTCTGGTTTCCGAACTGGTTTCCTCGAAACTTCGCAGGGTAAACGTTCATAATAGTATTTTTGCTCCAACTTGAAATATCTTGAAAGGGAAGAGATCGTTCGACCGATTTAAAATTTGCAATTGTTAAATATATATAAAGGAGAGATATAAAACAAAAGAAAGAAAAAAAACTTGAAGATTTACGGAACGTAGATCGTTCACGACGTTATAAATTATCTCTCAAATTAGTGTGATGTTGCAAAGTTGCCATTTATTTATTATCGAGATTTGAGACACGCTTTCACGTTGTTCACGATCTACGTCCTCCAATATTATTTCCATTAAATCGTACAATATTACGACAGAAACACGGAATGTTAATCTATAAGGGAAAAATCATTTCTGTTTCCCGGAAATACGAATATTAGCAATCTACGCCAATCGTCTCTGTTCTCGTTGCCTCCAACCAGAGAGATCGTTCCTTGGATCGCGTTAAGAGTAACACGAGCGTCGATTGAAATTGACATCCATTTGTCAAGAGACGTCTAGTCGGTGCTCGGCACTCGCCAGGATCGTAGGGTTCGTGAAATCTGCTCTTCCTTCTCTCTTCGTTCCACCTCATCATCGTTTACCCTCGATAAACGTTTAACGAGTGGTTTAACTTGGCAAACATACAACATCGATCGCCAGGCTGTTCGAAAGAAGACAATGGTTGGGTGCGATTAAATGATCGAAACGATCGCGAAATTCGTCGTGGAACGTGAAATCGGTCGAGTTGAAAACAATTCGAGTAACCGGGACGAGATTTTAACGAAGCGACAAAATTATTTATCGCGACAACTTCTCTCCATCCTCTTCACAAAGGAAGAAAAAAACCTAGTGAACAGGCACCTGCGTGAAAACATCGTGGCGAGTATGGCGAAGGTGAAGAGACACCCATTTTCACGGGGTTGAATACGATAAACGATAAACCTGACGACAGTTCGATATTTCATTGTGGCGTTTGATGTATCGCGGCGATACTTGCAAACTTTCTTATCGATCGAGCGCTGAAAATATCGCGTCATTAACATTCACCATCACGTATTTCGGATTACCGATCGATGCGTGTTTCCAAGACGCCGCGTTACCCCAAACTTTTCCAAGCTTTAAATCCTTCTTAGGAAGCGTTCGAATTTTAGTTAAGCTCGCCAAGTCTGGCAATACCGAGCTCGGAAGCTCTCTCGAAAGTCTCCGAGTTTCGAACTGATCGTTTCGACGATAACGTTTTCAACGAATTCGAATCTCTCGTTGTCTCTCGTCGAATTTCTTTGGTTGATTTTTTTCTTTTTTCTTTTTCTTCGCCAAAAATCGCGTCGAAAGTTTGTCGGAAATTCGTTTGACGATGAAAGAAAATACGCATGCGTGACTTTTATCAGTAGCCACGTAGTTTCTTCCTCGAGAGAGAAATAAATGTGTATCGTCTAGATTCTCTTTTGATATTCTCTCGCGCTCTTCCTCTTCTCCCCCTCCCCCCCCACCTCTGCGCGTTTTCTTTGACGATGGATCAAAGAGCCGTTTTACGCGCGCATACGTGCGCCGTTCTCAAAGAACGATGACGAACGTTCTTTTTGGCGTGCATTACAGTATGCATCGGCTTTGTCGATTCACAATACGTGCAAGTTGCGTGTTCGGGTACGGGGGAATGCCAATGCCGTGCGAGAGTTGCGAGACACGAAAAACGTGAGCATATATATATATATGTACGTATCTCTACTGAAAATTCGCCAACGTCGAGTCTTCGTCGGGGACAATGAGTAATATCGGAATGGAAGTTGGGGGTTTTGAAAATATCCTTTCAGAATTATAAAATGGATCGTGGTTGGTGGAAAGGCTTCCGACAGTGGTAAATCGAACGGGGAATGTTGGATTGCAAAAGTTAGGCAAGCAGAATGGAAAGTTTAATCCGAAGGAAAGGGCGTGCACCTCCTCCATTCCTGCTCTCCATTTAAAAAAATTCAAATGCAAATTTCAAAGTTCACGAAACGAAACGAAATGAAAAAAATTTACCGTATTTCCCCCAAACGTAATCTCCACCCTGTTAAAGTATCCAACTTTCACGGTTGTGTATATATATATATATCCTTAAAGTTTGATTTTTCTTTTCAGTGGGACAGTTCGGAATCCGAATATTCGGAGCCTGAGGAGTCAAATGAGTTAGGGGCCATCGTAAGCCCCGAGATCTACGCGATGGACACTGTGGACAGTGCGAGCAAGCGGCAAGCTACTCGTGTCTTCAAAAAATCCAGCCTTAATGGAAAGATCACGGTATACCTTGGGAAAAGAGATTTCGTCGATCACATAACTCACGTCGATCCTATCGGTAAGATCCTTCAACTGTACTCGTCGCGCTCTCCATCACCTTACTCGTTACCGCGTCTACCTGTTGAATCTAACCTGGAACGCTCTACAATCCGCTCCTTTCCTCTCCTTGTGTACGAACGTGTGCGTGAATTTATCGCATTTCGAGAAGTATACGCATTTAAAACGCTTTACCTCCTCCCAAGTAATCAAATTACTCGGTTATTGTCAAGCGTGAAACAATTGTTCGACGACGTGGTCAAACAAGATTGGAAAATTCGATTTGTCGAAACGATTAATCTCGAAGGCCAATTGATCATCTCGACCGATCGCTGTTCGATTCGTTGCAGACGGGGTCGTGCTGATCGACCCGGATTATGCGAAGGATCGCAAGGTTTTCGGCCACGTGCTGGCCGCGTTCAAGTACGGGAGGGAGGATCTCGACGTTCTCGGGCTGACCTTTCGAAAGGATCTCTACTTGGCGGCCGAGCAAATCTATCCTGTGGTGGCTGGCGCCCAACAGAGGAAGCTGACGCGGTTGCAAGAGAAGCTGATCAAGAAATTGGGGAGCAACGCGTATCCTTTCTATTTCGAGTTACCGCCTCATTGCCCTGCGTCGGTCACGCTGCAACCGGCGCCAGGCGACACTGGGAAACCGTGCGGCGTCGACTACGAATTAAAAGCGTTCGTAGGTGAGACGCAGGACGACAAACCGCAGAAACGGTACGAGCCACGATTATCGCGATCCCCGGGGAGGGGGGGAGGGAGGGGAGGGGGGAGGGGGGGAAGGGGGGAAGGGGAAACGTTCCGCGATCACGCGATCTCCCTGAAACATCGATTTTTACGGAACGACCGACCGTCCACGCGCTCCTTTAACCCTTTTCAACGCCTTCGTTGAACACGCGTAAAATATCTTCGAAGCGTGGATACCCAGAATTTTCTAGAAATTTTCAAGAAAAAAAAAAGGAGATGATCAAACGTTAAACACTATAATACTTCCAATAATAAACGGATATGCAGTATTTATATTTCGATGATCGAAGGAAAAGGGTTTGAAACATATTTATCGAACCGATCGAATAATCTTTTCCAGATCGCGTCGTTCGTATTACGCACGAGCGAGACACGATACGTGGAATGTCGCGGCGTGGGTTAACGGTTCGCTATCCGGTTGACACGCTACCGATAAATCACCGTGTTGCAGAAACTCGGTGCGGCTCGCGATACGGAAGATCATGTACGCGCCGTCGAAGCAAGGCGAGCAGCCTTCCGTCGAGGTGAGCAAAGAATTCGTCATGTCGCCGAACAAGCTTCACCTGGAGGCGTCGTTGGACAAGGAGCTGTACCATCACGGCGAGAACATAGCTGTGAACGTGCACATAGCGAACAACAGCAACAGGACGGTGAAAAAGATCAAGGTGTCGGTGAGGCAATTCGCGGACATTTGCCTGTTCTCCACGGCGCAGTACAAGTGCACGGTGGCCGAGGCTGAGAGCGAGTGAGTATCGTTCGGTTCGCGCGCTTCGTTCGGTTGTTCGTTCGCCGCGAAACGGCGTATGGCGTACGAGAGTGTGGCGACAAATGGATCCATATTCGTACGAAAGTCGCGGTGGTGTGCGGTTGACACGCGCGCGCCTGTGCACACAGTTGGCCGTCGCTCGCATTGTTCCCCAACCGATGAAATATCCGCGTTGTTGCGACGTGTCTCGTTGCAACACGTGGGCACGGGGGAAATTTTAAAAATCCGTTCGAGATTTCTTTCTTACTCTCGTTCTGCATACTATTTCTGTATTATGGGATTATTGAATATGGATTTATCCTATTGCCAAACTGTCACGACGAATTCCCCGATTTTTATCGAAGACACGCGATTTCGTATTTCGAGGAAATTTCGCAATTGGAAGATAGAGGAAATAGAATCTCGTGTTTGGTCACGATCGATTCATCGACGTTGATAGACCGCTCGAAGACGTTCTATATTTCGTGTTGTTCGATATCCTTAAATAGAAACCGACTGGCCTATACACACACACATATACATACATATATACATACACGGTGTATAAGCCGGTGGATTACCGAGAAATTTACGAGTAACACATTCTGCGACGTGACCAGGCACCAGGTACTCAAGATCAATCGGGTCGGGAGCAGGAAGGCATAAATTAAAATACGTCGCGATAAATTTCAATCCAACGCGAGAATTTACGCCTCGTCTGATAAATTCGTATCAACGACATCTTGTAATCTGCCGCGTTCCTTATCCGAAGAAATTTACGAATTTGGCGAGCATTCCAGTCTAATTTCACTTTTCGTCCAACTTTTTACGACGTGTATTATTTCTAAGATATCTTTGATCACGTTATTGGAAAATTGACTCGAACGCTTGCCTCTTTCTTTTTTCTTTTCTCTCTTTTTTTTTTTTTTTTT